AACTTTCATGTAAAATATATTGGCTCGCTAAATTCAAGGTTGTTGCACGCTGTCTGACTGGAAATACCTCCTGTGGGATAATAATATCCCTGTATGCAATATTTAGTCGCAGCCGCCATATACGACTCCGTTATACCAAATCGCCCCTCCAAGTCATCAGTATTAGTCGCAGCAGTACACCGCCCCATGGTAGTCTTCAGTTCTTACGTTCCTGCTCCGAAACAGGCGGGGTGTCAAGAAAGGCCCAAATAAGCCTTCGCACAACAGCCAGGGGGATCTACCACACACAAGCGATGTACTGGCTTCGGTCTCAGGACCTTGACGTATGATACGTAACCAAGTGTCACAATGCTATATAGTTGTCAGATACGCATAATCAACGTTCAAACGTCTAAACGCTCCTGAGAACTCACATAACGAAACACACGAGTGTTATCTGTACCGATCAAACAGCTCACAAGCGATTCACTGCCGGATTTGCTGTACATTGCGGGAACATGAAACTCGTCTTGGCACGATAAGCGATGAACGTTTGAACGTTGAACACCCGTGAGGAAGTGATCACATACGAACATTTTGGTGGGGATGATTGTCCCACCAACCTTTGCTGCTCAGCCAAGGCCAAGCAACTGCCGTCGGTCCGTCGGCAGCCATACAACAATGAAACACGGGACCCGACATTCGTACACTGACCAGTGACAGCCTGAAACGGCTGCTGCGAACTCGAGCTCTGGCAGTGCATCTATAGGCAAGCTCACGTGGCTAAGTGAAATGATCTCGACTCGAAGTCCGTTTGACGGTCAGATGTTAGGTGCTGTTTGCAAGTTGTAGCGACCTCCAAAGTGGGGTCGTCATCATTAAAGGGGCAGAGTTTCTCGGGGCCATGTCCTCTGTGTGTAGCTGCTGCTATAATTTGAAGGACCGCCAACAATATGCCAAAAGCGGCTTTTATGGGCGCATCAACAAGTGGAATTTCCCCTACAGCAGCTTGTACCACAAATAAAAGATAGCCGAGCCATCTTCGCGAGCAAGAAGTGTGCAACACGAGGACTCGGTGGAAGACACGCTGGTGTGTGTCCGTTCGTTTGCCGAGTCAAACGCAGTGCAATCATGATGATCTTGGGCAGAGCCGTGTCCCACGGAATGTGAATTCGGCAATGTCGCTAAAGGTCACTAACTCACGACGAGGAGTGGAGGAAAGGAATGCGATATATCGCTAATCAAGAGCATCGCCCGATGGCTGAGGACGCAGCATCCATCCCTCGCGGTGTCCAGTCTCCGCGCTATCTGTGACGTAATCGGTACAATCGGCCAAAAACTCCGAGGCGAGATCCCAAGGTTTTCCAGCCCTGTCAAATACGGATACCGGGCCTCACCTGAGGCAGGGGTAGTAAGCTTTTCCCTAGGACAGGGTCGGTTGAGTCTACTATTTCCGATGGCCTATAGAAACGGGTTAGCAGAATGATGTCACTGTCAACACGTCTCCTGCGAGGTTGTTTGTGGATGGAGAACGTATCATCAAGATAAGACACGGAAAGAGAACTCATCCGAGGAAGGACGCTCCCGAAACTTTGGTAGTGGCGATACGCAATACGCGAGTTCTAGTCTGCTCAGGACCAGCAAAATGAAGACGTAGAGTAAAATACAACGAGCACTGTTGGACAGTGCGATTGTGACTCGCTCATAGCTCGTCACCCACCTCGACGCGACCCACAAGGTCGGCGGCCTGTCAATGATTCAGAATCACAAGCGAGGGAGATTGCTGACAGTATACACCCTCTGGCGCTGAATGAAGGGACAACCCGTCCGTAGAACGAGACACTCCGGGACCTGACATTAGATCACATTCGCGATATACTATACCCACTTCCCTAAATGTATGGCAGAGATAATTAATAAGGCTTGAATCGCCGTGATTCCTTCAGTTTTTCGACACGTTCCTTGTCCGCCGCGAAGTTCTTCTTCAGGTCGAGCAAGGCTACAGGCACATGAACCGATATCCTCATGACAAACAAAACTTTACACTCACCTTTCCGTTGTTTTTCAGCCTTCTGGAAAGCGTAAAACACATCCTTCTCCTTTTTTTCTCCTTCTTTCTTCTACTTCCAGTTTGCCCAGTGAGCATGAACTTCTTGCTGGCAACGCCCACGCCTCCACCAAGCGTTTGTCCATAAGCACCTCCTCTCGTAACGAGTGTGAATCCGTCCTCGTCCACAATTGCTTCCCCTTTCCGGTACTTGGCCTCCTGTTTACTCTTCGAAAGGTCAAATTCGAAGCGGTCCATAAAGCTGTCTGCGTGAGCTTTGACAGCATCTAGCGGAGGCCGCTCATTATCATATTTTGCCATATAGTGAGAGAGACCACGGGGCTCCCCAGAGATGGCCATGGCTTAGGTGACGTAGGGGACAAAAGCGCTTTTGCAAGAGATGAAGAATCGAGAAATATGATATGGGCACAAGATCCAGTTTGCGCAGTGTGCGAAGGGATGGAGAAGGGAGGGGTATCACTTCAGGGGGCGTTGGTTCGGAAGTTTGGAGCTTTCTTTTCTTGCGAGGACGTGCTTCGGTATCAGGTTCTTCATTGACGGCAGCCTCGGACATCTCCTCGTCAGAATCAGATGCGTGCTCTGTTAGAGCATCGGCAGAGTTGAAGTCAAATAAGACGCGCTCTACTGTCCCACAGTGTTTGAATAGCAGTGTGAGCTCATGCTCTGTTCGTCTGGTGGCACGTTCACTAGGAATAGCGTGCGTCCTTCAGGTAGAACATTGTTGGCTTCGTTTTGGATTTAGATTTGGCATGAGCTCTCGCATAGATGTAATGTGTTGAACTTGGATATGCAATTGGAATGACAGTGAAACCCGACAGACATTTCGGTAAAATAGGCATGTCGATGGAAGATCGAGGCAATTTTCACCAGGAAGTTGTTTGGATCGAAGGCTTTTGCCAAACAAACAACTCCGCTATGAAATTCAAACCTCGTGTCTTGAAGCTTGAAGATTTACTTCAAATCCTCGACGTAATAAGTGGTACGATTCTAGATACATGGTTGTATCGAGAGATTAACAATGCCCACATTCTAGTAAGCATGAAAGGAAAGCCTGAAACCTTAGAAGCAGTTGTATACTGGCAACAGCATCAGCAAGTTGTGAATTTTCAATCGCTCAACAGGATAACCGTAGGCAACTGATTGAGCCACAAAATGGGCAGTTCGTTTTATGTGTTATGAGTCTGCCTCTCAGTGTTGGAAGCAGCCATTTCCTCCTCTGCCAATTGTCGACTCTCTTGGGTGAGTTCACATGGGGTGCAAAAGAATGCAGTTAGGCAATCGTTACCGGAGCTTCCATCAATGTGGTAGCGCGCTCTCAACGTGGCCCTTTGCCCGAGCTAGCAATCTTCCTTAACATGTACCTGTGAAGAACGACAAAATCTATGCTCACCTGCAGTACCCAACCAAAACCGCACAACATATCAAGCGCTAGATGCATACAACAATCAGCATCGCAGCCCGAACCACCATGTTCCGGATCCGCCGTATCGTTTTCTTGCAAGTGGTCGAGTCGCTTCCGGTTTTTCCCATATACCATGCAAGGGCACCAACACGACATGCAATCTGTGAAGCAGGCTGTGGGTGATTCACTGTGGTAAGATTGTATGGGACTCACAAGTTCCAACATCATCCCAGCAACTAAACAGCCCGTTGTGCCAATAGTTGGGGTCGATCTTGTTGTCCGGGCTGCCCTGCACCCGAACCGGATCCTTCCTCCTCTTTCTTTGTGACTCTGCTCAGCGGACTGGTCCGCTGGTTCCCCTTCCTTCTGTGACACCTCGGAAGCGTTCATTTGTCCTGTTGGTTGCATCTGCTCCTGGCGTGGTTGGGGATGAGCGGTTCGGTCGTCAGGAGCATCCTGCACTGGCTTGAGAAGCAAGGTTGTCAGAAAAGACTCGTTCACTATCAGGACATGATATACCTTCGATCCGGCTGAACCTTGTAAAAAATCTTGAGGAGCAACGAGGCCTGCAGTGCTTGGGGGAACAAACATGTTCAAGGTAGTTAGGAGGAATTGCAAGATTAGGGGTATTTCGATGAGTCTAAAATATTTGCTTTCATTCACCTCTTACAAAACAAAACCATTGAGATCAGAGAATTGGCATCTTCAAGTTTAATCGCTATCTCGATGAGCACTTAAAGAACCGAGGGGCGAAGTTCTGAGCTCTATTGCAGCGCTCTCCCTGTATTTATCGTAGCAAGACTTGTCATGATTCTACAATGCTACTCCATTCCAGTGGCGCTGTGTAAATTTCAAGCACGACACTCAGAAAAATAGCATCGACTGGGACAAGCTTAAACCTACTTATGTACAGCTTCTGAGTGTAAACCAGTCCTGTAGAGGGTGTCTCTGAAATGGGTATAACTAACACAGGTAGCGATGATCTGAGTCCTAGGGTCTCGGGAATTTGCACCAGGCAAACTTGCCCGGCTAATTTACCCTGCAAATTTACCGTGAATGATAGTACTATCAATTTCACACCCTCGAAAACATCATGATAGTGTCAATTTGGGTGAATTTGTTTCTACTGGACCCAGAACACCTGAAAAGCTTAAATATGATATACTGGACAATCCCGACAGCTCAGACGAACACAAACCGATTCTCTGCTATTCCAAGTTGACCTTGCAAAACTCGTAGCAGTCATGGAGCCTTATGCAAAAGCAATTCAATGTCTAGAGTCGGCCCCAAACAACTTGTGCAGACGTCTATTTGTACTGGCTTGCCATCGTTGCACAGATGGAACAACTGATTCAGGGCAATCCAATTCGACTATGCAAAGAGACCAAAGTGCCATCCGTGCAATTACTAATGCGCGGTTCAAACAGATGATCAACGACGCACCAAATCTTGAACCCAGGTGAGTGATGATGCGTGTGATGAAAAGGCGTAGCCCAAGGACTAGCGGGCCTTCAATTTGGTTATGACGCGCACCACCGAGAGAGTCTCGTTCCTTGTTTTCGACCTTGTCTATCTTACCATCGCAGTTCTGTAATAACATATTATCTTATTCTCCTCCTCGGATCTTTATCTGAGCCCCAACAGCAGACTTAGGGTGTTGCTGACATTAGGTCGAAAAAAACAATCTCTTCACGCCCAAAACCATTATTCCACTCTACCCCTATCATGTCTTCAAACAATAATTCACTCGATGTTGATGAAAATATGTCTTCCCCTAATGGCGCTGATGGAAAACACCCTTCTTCAACTCCTCGCACAGTTGGTGCAAGGGCAGCAAGACTTTGGCCAGGTTGTCACACAAGTTCTAGCTCACCCTGCTCCAGTACCACAAACTCTGACTGCGCCGACTATCCCTAAAGCATCAATTGCTGAACCAGATGCTTATGACGGGAAGTACGAGACGTTCGACGCATTCATCATGAGTCAACTTTTTCTATTGTTTTCCGGCAAGCCGTCGGTCTATGCTAATGACCAAATGAAAATCATTACGACCTTGTCCTTTATGAAGAAAGGTTTCGCGGGTACGTGGGCGACCAATATCACGAAGCAGCTGAGGGAAGGCACTCTTGTCTTTGCGAGTTGGGCAGAGTTCGAGAGGAAGTTGAGAGGTGTATTCGATGATCCGAATAAGAAACGGCTCGCGCAGGTTAAGCTTCACGCCTGAAGAAAACTTCTAAACAATCGCTGATGAATATTTCGCCGAGTTTGATCAACTCGCAACAGTCGCAGGCTTCAACGACGAAGCCTTGCTTGATATACTCCATCAAAACCTTGACAAGCCCACATTTGATGCAATTGTGGCTGCTGCTCCGCAGGTTGATAGAGAGTTGACGGCATGGAAGGACTATGCGAAGAAGTATGATAGGAATAAGAGAGCAAACGAAAGGAGTGATGGAGGAGAATTTGCGAGTGGAAGGAGGTTTGGTGAAGGAAGAGGAGGACCGGGTTGTGGTTTCGGCCACAAGGAGGTATAGGACGAGGATCTCCCCATACAGGTACCACTGGAACGAGCGGCACCACTACGGACACTGGGGGTCACGCGGGCACAGGCACTGGGGGCACCAACACGGCGGGGGGCTGGCACACTTTTCCTGGACAAGGGGAACCCATGGATCTTGACCGACAGCGTGGACGAGCTACCTCTACCCAGCTCAAATGCTACAACTGTGGAGAGGCGGGGCACATTGCTCGTGGTTTGTCCTAAGCCACGAGGATGGAATACAATGAGGGCAGTTTTTGAGGGATTGACTGAAGAACAAAAGGGAGAAGTAGCGGAGATTTTTAATTTACGAGAGAAGTCTGGAGAGAAGCAAGAGGGTTTTTGAAGACGCCGGGAGAGAAGGGTGCTAACTCACCAGCGGATTGTATGATAAGTGCTGAATCAGTCAATGAAACTTGTGATTCGGACTCCCAAGCACCCACTTCTATAGATCAACCAAAGAGTAAACTACAAAAGAAAAATCAGCGGAGAAAGGAGCAAAAACAGAATGATAAAAAAGAGGAAGCTAGTAAAAGACAGCTGGAGGATGACGAGAAGGCGAAGAAAGGTTCCTTGCTATGGACCATGGAGATGCTTCGTTCCGATGATGAAAAGGCATTGAAGACGTTACGTCGTTGGACCAATCGTCAGTGCATCTCGGAGGTTGATATTGACCTCCTACTCCAGCTTCGACAGCTCACACCAATTCAACAAAAGGAGGTTCTCCAAGAGTTAAAACGTCCAAAAACCTGGATCCGCAAAATTAATCAGAATTCTGTTGTCACGCTGGTTACTATCGGCACCCTTGATGATCAACGCACCTTCCAAGTGAATGCTCTTCTGGATTGCGGAGCCACAGGCTGCTATATTGATGAGGGATTTGCACGAGCCAAAGGTCTTAATCTCGAATCACTTCCTTGACCCATTCCAGTTTATAATGCGGATGGCTCACACAACGAAGGAGGTCCAATTCGATCTGTGGTGAAGTTGCGTCTCCAGGTACAAGATCATATCGAGATCTTTAATTTTGCAGTTACCAACATTGGAAAAACGGACCTTATCATTGGTTTCGATTGGCTTCGGAAGCATAATCCCTCTATCAACTGGCGCACTGGAGATGTCACCTTTAATCGCTGTCCACTTGCTTGCCGTGCTACCTTTGGAGGAGAGATATCACATGAGCCAGAAGATGAACCTTGTAAGGAGAAGCGAAAAGCTGAGCAGTTAGAAGACGGAGATCGCATTTTTGTCACTAAGTTTGAGGTCAAGACATTGGAAGAATGGCAGTATTGGGAGAAGGCTAGAAGATGTGAAAAGATTAGGGCTGTGGAAACACGCTCTCAGAAGTTGGCAGAGGAGGCACTTACGAAGGGGACAAAGATGTTGTTGGAAGAATTACTTCCCAAACACCTTGAAGATTTTACGCTGGTGTTTGAGAAAGCCTCATTTGATTGCTTACCTGAACGATGTCAGTGGGATCATGCTATTGAACTCAAACCAGGCATCGAACCTTTCAATAGCAAGATTTACCTGCTAAGTCTCGTTGAGCAAGCTGAACTCGACAAGTTCATTGAAGAACATCTGCACACAGGACGAATTCGACCTTCGAAATCCCCTATTGCTTCCCCATTCTTCTTCGTCAAGAAGAAAGATGGCTCTTTGTGTCCTGTACAGGACTATCGCAAATTAAACTCAGCTACCATCAAAAATCGGTATCCCCTTCCTCTGATTTCTGAAGTGATCCACAAACTCTGCAACGCGCGATATTTTACCAAGCTCGATGTTCAATGGGGGTACAATAATATCCGTGTCCATGAGGGAGATGAATGGAAAGCTGCGTTTACAACCAATCAGGGACTCTATGAACCATTGGTAATGTTTTTAGGCCTCACAAACTCACCAGCTACCTTTCAGACAATGATGAATGATTTATTCTGAG